CTATTGGAAATGTAAGGTATCAGAATTCATCTTGTCTCTGTCCTGTGGAAATGTGAGATCTAATTCTTTCTTGTCTTGTGTGGATGTTATAAGAAAATATTAATATTTTCATAATTTTTCTTTAGTTACATATGTGACAGTTTTTTTATAATTTTTCTTTGTTCGTTGTTAAACACAAAGCTACATAATGGGCTATCTTCTCTAAACTAGGTAGTTGCTGACCCTTTACTCTTTGTTTGTTCGTCATGAAGACTACCTAAATCGTCTATTGGAAATGTAAGGTATCAGAATTCATCTTGTCTCTGTCCTGTGGAAATGAGAGACCTAATTCTTTCTTGTCTTGTGTGGATGTTATAGGAAAATATTAATATTTTCATAATTTTTCTTTAGTTACATATGTGACAGTTTTTATAACTTTTCTTTGTTTGTTGTTAAACACAAAGCTACATAATGGGATATTTGTGCTCTGTTCATCAAGGATATCTAAACCTGGTTTTTATGGTTATAAGCCCTCAGACATACCACTGAGCCACTGGGCAGGTATGATGTTAGTAACTTAATTGCAACTGTTATCTGACAGGCTGAACGTTAATGATACATACCTGTAGCTAATACGTTTTTACATCATTAATGCCTGCTTTTCAAAAAATTGTTAAATTAAAAGAAATAATTTCAATATATCTTAATATTTTTTATTGCCAACTAGACAAGTTCAACCATACTTCGATAGGCCCTCTAGTAGTAGTAGTACACTTCACTGCCGAAAAAATTATTACTACAGACTTTCAAATATTTCTTAGTCAGTAGAAAAAATGTATTTCCCATTTTTAATGGCATTACAAGATAAGATACAGAAACAATTACTGACAGCAATCAATCTAGTTTAGCCAACATTAATAATAATAATCTAGATAAGTCATAATGTGATTTTCTAATTCTGAGAAAATTTACCAGAATTTAAAAATAACATGAAACAAAGGTATTAATGTTATTTTTGCATTTGTGTTTTCGATTAGAATGGTGTAACTTAGTGTAGTGAAAATTATATTGAAACAAACTTTAACAGTTAAGTGATCCAAGCTATTACGTGTAGGTATTATTTGTAAACATTAAATATTAGGCATCTAAGCCCTAATCTTTGTGCCAACTAACGATGTACTGAAAGTTACAGTCAATAACTGGTTCAATTAAAAAAAAAAAAAAACGTAGTTCCGAGCAACAAAACTGACCGCCCACTGAAAGTCTTGGATTCAAAGAACAATAGGGGTTAATAACAGGCATGGCTTGAGAAGTGGATTTCTGGGGAAGGTGGTTTTTTGAGAACAATGGTAGTTAGGGTTTGAGAAGTTGGGACTAGGCATTGAAAGTGCAACTTGACTGTTCTGTTGGTGATTATTCGGTTAAATGTAGTAAACGTCAATTTCGGTTTTGTTTAAAATTATTGTGTATGCTTTTTTTTGGGGGGGGGGGGCAAGAGGAGAACCTGGTCCCAGTTGACACCCAGCCCTGGCTGAAGCTTAGTGACTGGGTACCCGGACCCGGTATTTGGCCAAATTTTACTACCCGTGTATCTTTATTAAATATATTTCCTTTTAATTGCTCAAGTGTTTCATTATCAAAGTTCAAGATGCCTGTCAGTTTTTATGTATGTATGGGCCGGATTCCTTACAGTAGGAGTCTTATTGCCGATAAATTTCAACAATAAACAAACAGCACTTGTTTAAAATAATATATCAAAATACGTCAAACGTATATACAAATGTTCATTACACTGTTGGTTATCGCAGTTGTATTCAGAGCTTTAAATAATTCTCTTTTTTTTGTCAAAATCCACACAGTCTAGTTCAATTACTTTAGAACACAATTTGACAAGATTAATTGTACTTCCTGCTCTGTTATTACAATACAGTCCATGATAATTTCACTTGAAAATCATCACTATATCTGTTGGTTACCACAGTTGTATCCAGAGCTTTAGATAATTGTCTCTTTTTTTCGTCAAAGTCCACACAGGCTAGTTCAGTTACTTTAGAACATAATTTGACAAGACGAATTATTCTTCCTACTCTTTTATTACCATACAATCTGTGATAACTGCACTTTAAAAACCGCCACTATATGCTCTCTATGGGTAAACTCACAGTCACCCAGTCTAGATTTATTTTTCGAACTCCATTTTTGATGCATATTTATACCCTGTCAGAGGTCTAGAACGTTCTACACACTATTAGATAGTATGATGTAATAATATAACAATCACCAATTCAAACTATTGAACTACACAATGTATGATTTGTAAACAGTTACATAAACTTACAAAAACTATTATTGCTAAAAATAACTAAATTTAAAACTCATGCTATATAAACTATCTAAATAACTTTCACATTAAATATAAACCGAAACAGTCATGTATTTCTAACAATAAGCACTCTTCAAGAAAAATATTTACAATATTTTTTATACTATACACAAAGACTGTTTTCAGTTCATACATAAAGTCTACTCATACAGTCTGCACCAACATCTACAGTCCCCTTTATGGCTTCAATGTGAAATCTGTAGTCCTGGAGGTACAAAGCCCACCTCATGATCCTCGTACTGTCAGTTTTGCACCTCTGGATGTATGCAAGGAGCTGATGATATCTGCCTGGAAGATGAACTCCTTCTTATAGAGGTAGTTGTGGAAGTTCCAAATGACAAATATGATGGCCAGACACTCTTATTCAATCACTACTCAACAGCTTTTCACTGATTTACATTGTGGGAAACAGTCTGTATACATGTTCTTGCAGAAGTACTACTCCAATTCCAATGTCTGATGCACCGGTCTCAACAATGAATGGTTTGTCTGGCATTCTAAGGATTGGCGAACTTCCTAACATGTTCTTCAAGTTCTGGAATGTCACCTGCTGTGATTCTTCCCACTTCACCTTGTTGGGTTGGCCTTTCTTGGTCAGGTCAGTCAGTGGTGCAGCAACTTCAGTGTAGTTTGGTGTGAATTTCCTATAGTATTCTGCTAACCACAGGAAGGATCTGACTTTCTGGTTCGCCATTGGAGCTGGTGCATCTTGTATGTGGGTTAGCTTGTCCTCTTCCATGGCTATCTGTCGGTTGCTCACCTTATGTCTAACAAAGTCCAGCACAGAATAGTCCAAGTAGCACTTAGATCAGGGTTGGCAAACCTATGGCACATGGCATTCACTGATGTCCCAAATTTTTTTTACACACCAATATATATATATATATATATAAGAATACATATATACATATTAGGGTTTATATGGGCATGCAAAAGAATTTCTCCAAAAGTTATCGACAATTTGGGCACATGCTCTCAAAAAGATTTGCCAGCCCTGCCTTAGATGGTCTGATGGTCAGACCTGCTGCCTTCACTCGCCAAAATAGCTCTCTGTGTTTCTTCAGGTGGTCTTCCCATCTGGCTTTGTGGATCAAAATTTCATCCACATAATGCTCGATGTTGGTGGTTTTGTGCAACATCTTCCTCATCACATGGTTGAATGTTGCTTCTGAGTTAACTAACCCAAATGGCATCATCTTTTGAACTGGTGTCATAAAGGTTGTCTTCTCTTTTGATTCTGTCTCAATTGGGATCTGCCAATAACCTTCAATGAGGTCAATCTGGGTACAGAACTTGATCCCATCTAATTTTGCCAAGATAACCTCTAGGTTGCCCATTGGTTCAGGGTCATGAGGTTCAGCTTCTCCATTCTATGCACAAGCAGTTGGAGCCATCCATCTTCTTCATGATTACCTCTGGTGAACATAGGCTGAATTTGAAAGCTCAATAATTCCAGCTTCTAACATTACACCAACTTCTTTGTTCATCACCTTTGTTCCAACTCTGACTTTGGGCAAATCTTTCATACCTCTCCAGGAAAGCATCCATGTCATCTTTCTGTTAATCAAATTTGGGCAGCTTGTATTGGTTGGCCCGGATCCCATTATCATTCTTGGGTCCTCCATGTTTCTGTTGGATGATTTTAGAAATCTCAATTTCTACTCTTATTCTCTCTCTATTTCCAGTATTCCTCTTTCTTCCTCTGTTTTTGCCTATGTTTTTCTCTCTCTCTCTAAGTCTTGTTGTTTAATAAACTCTCGTAGATTGCCATCTTTGTGCCCATGTTTCTCGCCTCTCTCTATTCTTGTCAAAGTCAGTCAACATGGTTATATAGTGTAGTTGTAACCTCTAATATATTTTTGCCACTATTACAGCTGTGTGTATATAGGCCTATTTGTTGCTGTTGTTTATGTCTACTTCTACTGCTGTTTACCACTGTAGATCTTGGGTCACAACTGCCAGTTTTTATGTATGTATGGGCCGGATTTTTTTACAGTAGGTGTCTGTGACTTATTGCCAACAAATTTCAACAATAAACAAACAGCACACAGTCCACTTGTTTTAAGATAATATATTAAAACATGTCAAACGTATATACAAATGTTCATTACACTGTTGGTTATTACAGCTGTATCCAGCGTTTTAAATAATTCTTTTTTTTGTCAAAATCCACACAGTCTAGTTCAATTACTTTAGAACACAATTTGACAAGATGAATTATACTTCCCACTCTGTTATTACAATACAGTCTGTGATAATTTCACTTTATAATCACCACTATAACTGTTGGTTACCACAGTTGTTTCCAGAGCTTTAAATAATTCTGTTAGTTCTGTTCAAAGGCTAGTTCTTTATTATTTAAATTGTCCATCATTTTAATGATTGCTGGGTTTTTTAGTGCAAACTTCTTCTTGTCTGCAATGCACTTCAGCATTTGCAGCATTGATTGGATTGTGCACTCTTCTGCGTCTGTAGACTGGTCACTGTTTTCAGTGGGATGGTCAACATTCAGGTTGTTGAGAAGTTCTTGTCCCCAGTTGTCAGTGGTGGGAAAGTTGTTGTTATGATTGACATAATCCTTTGGGTCAGTGATAACATTGGGAAGATTGGCGAGCTGTAGTAGTTGAGCCAAAGGAATCTAGTAGTCTTCATCTTCACTGTTGTCAATTGAGGGGGAGCTGATGAAACATTTCGTAAAACACTTTGATACTGTGCTGGTCTTGGTTTCACGCATCGAAGAATTGATCCAAACACAAGCTTCTAGCACACTGACACTTTCACCAAGTTTGCTTTTATCCATGTTTGATAACACAGAGTGGACTAGGCGCTTTTTGTAGTGGGCTTTGAATGCATGAATGATGCCCTGGTCAAGAGGTTGTAGCACTGATTTTGCTTTTGGAGGCAAGAACACAATTTTGACATTGTTAAGATTCACTTGACTGTGCAATGTAGCATTCTCTAACAGGAAGATAATATTGCGATGCTGTGCTTTCATGCGTTTATTGAAGCCTGTAATCCAGTCTTGGAAGACGGCATTGGTCATCCACGCCTTGTTGCTAGCAAACCAAGCCACAGATAAGTCACTCTTTATGTTTAAGTTTTTGAACCACCTGCGTTTTGTTCTATTCCCAATCACAACAGTGCGTTCAAACTCACCAACACTATTGCAACATAATACAACACTTAGTCTATCTTTGATTGCTTTCCTTCCCCTCAGTGCACTGTTCACCTTTTACACACAATGTTTTGTCTGGTGAACCACGATAGCTGACCCCAGTTTCATCCATATTGTAGATGTCTTTAGGTGCATATCCCTCTATAATAGCAGGCAATTTGGCATTCCATTCTTCAACTGTCATGGCATCAGTATCGCCACGTTCACTATTGATTGTGAGTTGCAAAATGTTATGTCTGGCTTTGAATTTAGTGAGCCATCCAGAAAGGCCCAGAGTAGTGGCTATTGTACGTACCTTTTCTTGCAGTATAGGTCCAGAAACTGGAATTTTCATAGCATAAGCTTTTTGAGACCAAGACCATAATGATGCTTCAAAGTCATCACTCACAAATCTAGAACAAATGCATTTTCGTGAAGACGGCTAATTCTCTTCAAACGCTGTCAGATATTTAGCCTTACACTTCAAAATTTGCTGGATTTGTGTTTTGTCAGCTAATTTGCGCTGGCTTTTATTACTGGCATTATGTGTCTCAATAACTTGAACTTTATCTGCCAATGATAGCTCAACACAATCAGACGGCTTTGCCTTTGGCATCATTTTGGAATAGAATTTCTATGTCATGGAGATTTAAAAGAGCGTTTGACAATAAATTTCATGTGCGATCGAAACAAGTGTAGCTGACACTGTAATGTTATCAAAGAGTATGTGAAAACCGCCCTTTCAATTGGCTTCTTTTGTGGCTGTCTCCATTAAATTTATAACAATAGAAAGCCTAAATTTCAAATGATTGATTGCGATATGATTAATGCCACGTGATGTTACTGAAAATATACACTTTAGCTGATGAGAAAAAAAAAATTCCCCACCAGAACATATGGGGAGCTAAGTTGAATTTGTAACTGCTGAAGTCACACGATTAGAAAGCCAGAAAAATTCTGACAGATATCCAACTTTTCAGCTGTTGAGATATTATTATTCTGTGTTCTTCCATGCATTACTTATTTAAATAAAAAATTATTTTGTGGACTAATAGCATTGGTGAAAGCATTAAGGCTAACATAAAAGGGCAGCCAACGACAAAAAATAAGGTTACACAGGTATTTTTCTTAACTATTCTTTATTTAATTATTATCATAAAAGTAAGTAACTCAAAATGTAAAAATTAGAAAAATTTTGGCTAGATAAGGTTAAATTAGGTAATATAATTAAAAATAATGAAAATAATAATAACATTTTTCTACAAGGTACAGCTCGCGAGTAGCACAAGCTTTATGCAACTTGATAACACTTGCTTCATCTTACCGGGTATTTTAAAACTTTTTATGGCGTGAATTTTAAAAATCACAGTCCAAAAGGCAATAAAATAATAATATTTAATCAGAAATGCCATCAGAGTAATTTAAAGGTGACACACACTGATTGTTGTCAAATATTGAACACGATTGCAATTAACAATGACCACATCTGTTAATGTTTATCATCAAAAAAGAAAAGAAAAACAGTGGGCGGTCGCAAAGTGGAAAGTCAACAATGGCCTCGGGACTGATTTCAGTGGTCGTGGTATGGAATAGGGGACTGTAATGTTTTGGGGAGATGGTCGCTCTCAGGGAGAGTCTACTGTATCTGACATATTCAAGTTGTTTTTCCTAAATTCACAGTTTTTTTCTGGTTGTTTATGCCAGTGGCATAGCAAGGGTTCTCAGCACCCGGGGGCAAAGACACTTTTGGCGCCCCAACCTCTGAAATGTTTGTTTTCTGGCTCATTACCCACTTAGTGACAATAACATGAAGAATTAATTACCGCCTTACACAGGCTTAAAATAGTCACAATATAACATCTCACGATATCACAATTGTAAACCTGGAACTAATGAAGTATAGCCTATTAGGTATACTTACATAATTCGTAAACCATTTTGATATTTATGTCATCCAGTATTGTTCAAAGTCACATAGCTAGAGTAATCTTTCAAGCATGCAGAATAAATTTCTGTTATATCCCTAGTATTGAAACTTATGTTTTATATGAGAAGCCAGTCACTTGTGGTGTACATAGATTATAAAACAGATTGATAAAATACGACTTAAGTTTACAAATAACAAATTTTATTAGTTTACAAAACTGTACATATACTTAACTAGATCTTGTACAAGTAGCATTCTGGTATTCATGGTTACACTATATGAACCTTTCGTGCTTTTGCTGCTGCAAATGCATCAATTAAACTATCGAAATTTAAGGTATTAAGCACGTCTTTTTCAATACTTAATATTGCCAAGTTACTAAGTCGTTCTTGAGTCATTGAAGTTCTCAAGTATGTAAGAATTAATTTCAGCTTGCTGAAGGACCTTTCACAACTAGCAATAGAAACCACATTTGTTAACAAAATATGTAATACAATTCTTAAATTTGGGAAAACATCTTCACCATAT